AACACTTAGAATGTGGCTTGTCACATACAATATTGTTATTATTTCTGAAATTAGTTCCTTCCTGTGTTTACATCCACTGTTTGGTCTCTATAAATGTTCAGCTAGTGTCATTAGATACAATTGTTTTTCCATATGACACACTGTCATGCTCATTTGCTGTATGTAAAAAGAAAAAAAAAACAAACAAAAAAAAACAATAGATTTGTTGGCAGAAGGTTCAGCCTTTAACCACCAACATAATCAATAATCAAATATGAGGCATTACTTTCAGATCAGCCTTCATATATTAACTAGGTATAAACAATTTTTATCCACAACCGAGTTTTTATATATATATATATATATATAGATACACCTAGTGAGCCAGACAAACCTACCTAGGTTTCACCTAAACGGATCGTCAGGCAAAGTTTGGCCAAACTTTCCCTGACAATCCGTTTAGGTGAAACCTAGGTAGGTTTGTCTGGCTCACTAGGTGTATCTAGGTCTGCTCTACGGTTGGTTTGAGCTCTTTTGTTAGTTAGTTGTTACTCATATTGGGGTTTTTTCTTTGGGCTTCAGACCTGCATCTGTGTTTTTTTTTTTTTTTTTTTTTTTTTTGTCGGCAGAAGTTCATGTTTGTAGCTCTTTCTTTTTTTAAAACCTTTTTTTCCCTCGAGATTGATTTGATCAGCAAATCAAAAATTCGAGCGTTTTCCGAAACGAGTCTAGTTATCTATATATATATATATATATATATATATGGGATAACGATCTATATAAATTTTTTTTTATATACCATAACAATTTTAGGGGAAATATGTTTGACAAAGTGGAAAAAGTTTGTGTGATGTTTCATCTTTTAGGATTAAGTTTGTTTACATTGATGCTGGTGCACATAGACGAACAATGCTGAGAATTTTAAATTTAAAGACAAAAATTTAAAAATGCTTTAATCTCTTAAAAATGTATCTAACACAAAGATAAACCCTCTTCCTACCAAAAGCTAAAATAATAAAAATCTACCATCACAATGCTTTTTCACATTTAATAATTATAAACTAAAGTTTTGATTACCAATGTGATCGCCTTCAAATAGAGTGGGCCATGTATTTTCTTAAGAGTTTCTCAAATCTGGTCTTTTCCAAAATATTTTACCTGAAAAATCAATATACTTTCAATATATTAAAGATGCTTTATTAATATATCCCTGTGATACTGATTTACCTGAAGTTGTAGATTAAACAAAGTCAAGCATACAACTGAATTTACATATGATATGGAAAAAAACTACTTTACCTTTTCTAGATATCATGCTACACCTTGTTAACAGTAGCTTAAAACTTAGTATCCACTGAAAATCAACTAATAAAAATGATCTCATAACTTTCTATCTCATCATAACAAAATTAAATCTGGAATAATCATCGGATTCTACTTAAGAGCACTTAGAATTTGCAGCCCTCAATATTAACATGAAAAGGAGAAATACATTGAAAATACTTTTAATTCCTCTAATACCCTATTTCATATTCAATGAAAAACAAAAGGCTCATAAAATATTCCAAAATAGAAAACCTCTTCTTGAAAAACCCAACGAATCAAGAAATATATTGTTCTATCCACTTACTTTATCACAACTGCAATTGAAAAGAATTTATCTAAACTCAACATAAAATTTGTCACCACTGCTTCTAAAACAATAACAATACAAAACAAAACAATAAGCTAAAACTTGAAAGAGAAATTTACTCTATTACCTGTAATAATAATTGCCACAAGGAGAAACCTCAAGGAATTTAAATAAAAGACTATATGAACACAAAAGGGACCTTTAACAAAACAATGCATTAATTGCTCACCCTAATAATGAGACTGACCTCAATTTTGATGTAAAATATGCTACTCTAAATAAAAGAAAAAACAATTCACCGAGACAAAAATGTTTAGAAAATGCTTTAGTCACTAGATCATCTACAGTAAATTGGTGTACAGTTTCTTACGTTTCACCATTTTTGGCAGATCTTTTGTTAGCACAATGTGGGATATTTATCAAAAATGATGGAAAGAAAAAGAAATCTGCTGGATTTTATACCCAAAACACATAAAAAAAAAAACAATAAAAAACAATCATCTTTTAAATTTAAAATTCCCAGCATCACTCATCTGTGTGCATGTAGTCACATCAACGTAAACATAAACTTAGTCCAATGAAATCCTAAAGGATGAAATACATCACATGAAAACTTTTTCCACTTTGTCACATATATATATATGTGTGTGTGTGTGTGTGTAGGTGTGCATGCATAGCTTATATCAAAGGAATTGGAATATACAGATATTACAATAACTTGTATATATTTCAGAATTCTTTACTTAGATATGCCTCACTAACCCATAAAAATAACTTTTTAACTTGTTGCTTTACTACATTTTGGTGATAATGATTGTCAATCATTTTCTTGTTATTGCTTTACAGCCTTTCAAACTTGGATTCTATGCTAAGTCAACAACTTATTTAGGCAAAAATACAATGACCATCATGGATTTTGTTCAAATTAAGTAATCAGTTAAATGAACAAAGGGAGGTAACCTCCAACATTTTCTTCTTTTAATTCAGATCTTGGGTATTACACTTTCGTTCATTAAAATTCTTGTGACCCAAGTTCTTTGTTCTCCATCATAAAATTTTCTATATAGCATGCTAAATAATAGATAAATATTTGTCAAAATCAGAAAAAAATTACTTGATAGGTCAAATGAGCTACAAAATGTTAAAGGTTATGTTCAAGGTCACCTTTTAGTTGATCTGTGACACACACACACACACACACACACACACACAAAAAATAGAATAAGTTTTAAATTTATTCAAGTATTTTTTTTCTAAATGTTAAAAAAAAACAGGAAATATTTAAATTTTGTCATTACCTTAAAATATTCACAATTTTGCAAAGTTCACTGGAATCCTTTGATATAGAAATATGAGATAGGTGCCATTTAGTTTGCCTCAAAGATCTGTAATTATAATTGAATGAAACCCATGATAGCCATGTTTCGACTACTTATTGATTTGACATTGAATTTTTTATTTTTTTTATTTTTGCAGTTCCAGTTTGAGTTTTGCTTTTTCTTGTGATATTTACATTTGTTTGGGATAATTACTTTTACATGGAAGAAGTATTATTGAAAAATAATTTCTTACCATTTTAAATACTTTCAATACATATCCATTATCACAAGAAAAATGAAAAGTTTTAAATAAAAATATTTTTGTATCTACTTCATTAAATAACAAAAAAAAATGCATTTTGTAAGAGTTATAGTGTATATGTTAGCTTTATATGAAATCAAATTTTTAAATTTTAATAAATTAATGCCTTTTGGCAATGGATACTAAATGAATATATTAGGCAAACTACAGTGAATTGAAACCATCTAAATTGTATGATTATTCCCTGAATGTGTATTAATTTGACCTCTTATAGTTTCTCTTCTAGAAGAGCTATTTTATAAAAATTGCTCAATCAGTTTTTTAAGGTAATGTTTGCAAATTCTTTTCTTTTTTTTTTTTTTTTTTTTTTTTTTTTAACTTCTGGATTTAAATGTGAAAATTAACTTTTGATTAAACATTTTATACACTTTAAGTATACCAAAATATCTTTTGTATCACTTTTGAACTACCTTGTTATTATTATTAAGACTATTCAAATGTTTCCTTATTGTTTCAGTAAACATGAAATTGCCATATTCTTAATTTCACAAGTTGCAAAATCAAAAATAATTCTAAAATGAAGTGATTGTTTAAGTAAAAACTTGCATACAAATTACTTCCTAGTTAAAAAAAAAAAAATCAGTTTTATCAACGTGAAACTACAATATAGATACATCTATCCACTTAAGATTTGGTTGTTTAGGCATCAACAATCAGCAAAATATTAATGCAAAATAATTTGTCAGTTTTATTTTTACCAGTTAATTACAACTGGCACTTTCTTAGGGGAAAAGTTTTTAATCTAATTTTATATGCACAAACCTATTCTAACTATCAGTTCATCTCAGTTATTAATGAAAAAGGTGCTAACACTGAAATGTAATTTTATAGAAATTCACATGAACTCAATGAAAAAGTATAGAGCTAATAAATTGTAAGCAAAAGTAAATTTAGATGCTTATTTGGGATGATGTCCACCTGAAAACCTTGCTGTGTAACATCAGCTCAAGAAAATTTTAAAAATGCCCTGAAATGGTAGTTACTGTAAGTAAATTAAAATCTCACTTTATATATTTGATATTAAAATAGATTTTCATATATTTTATGAGTAGATTTTCATATATTTTATGAGTAAAAGACTGCTTTTTATTTTAAATATGTATTTTGAAAGAAATCCGTTTTGTATTCAATTGTGATTCTTTATTTTTTAATTTTTTTTCTTTGATATTTTTAATGATGTCTAAAACTTGTTTTAAAATATTCATTTTTTTCCATTATTTTCCTTTTTAACATTTTTGCAATTATAAATATTTTCTTTTTTTCTATGGTTTTAAATTTTGCTTTATACTTTCTTGATTATGTTTTATTGAATTTATAAATTTTAGGATATTAGTCATTGCAATTTTAAATATTCTGTGTGCAACATGTTTTTAGTTAAATAACCAATAATTCAATAATTTCATGGACACATGCTTATATATAAAAAATAACATTGATCAGTATTATAAATCATTCTTTCAAAATGAACAATTCTCAAGAACAAACTTTTTTCCATTAGTGATATTATGGTAGGATCTAGCTTTGCCATAGAAACAAAATATATTAAATTTGAAGAAAAAGTATTTTTACTCTGACCCATGTACTCATTCTGACATTTTTAGCACAGCTGCTTTTATTAATTTTATATTTTGATATTAAAAAGCTACTTGCATTTATTGTCTAAATGGGGAAAAAACTCACATTATTTTGAGGATTTAAAACATTTTAAAATACTTTCTTAATATGGATATATTAATTTTATTTGCAGTGACACCTGAACACTTGACAACAATGGCCAGTCAGCAAGGAAGTTTGGCAGCAAGCACCACTTGGTGCAATCCTATAATTCCTTTATGTGCAAAGATGGCTGGTGGCTTACCTGGCGGAGAAAGCAGCATCTCTAAGGAACAGATGAAGCCTTTGACCACTGGATCTATTACCAATAGTAACAGCAGTAGTCTATCCTTGGTATCATCACAGGGGAAACACTCTCTACCTGTGGCCAGTACTTGTGCCCTAACAACCACATCATCATCATCACCACCACCACCACCACCACCAGCAGCATCTTCAGTGCTGGACCAATCTCCTAAACCAAGTGTTGGGAAAAGTCTATCACTAATGGAATCGCTTGATACAACTCAGCCTATTTGTCATCATGCGCTGTCCACTTTGACTTTCCCAGCTTTATCCAATGATTTGGACAAAGCTGGACTGTCTCAGGAATTGTCTAAGTTAACAGAAAGTAAGAGCACAGATTTTTCCAGTTGTGGGAGTGAAAAACTCAACTCTCTAATAAACACAGACACAACCACAACACTGTTATATCCCGTGAGTAGAACGTATTCCACTTGGAAAAGTAATGCCACTTTTTCCCATCTGTTGCCATCCGATGTTAGTGATCACATCAATAAATCCATTGTGAGTGAAGAATTTGGTCAGCGCAAAATGCAGGTCGACTGCAACAATGGACTGAATGGTGGCATCTTTCTGTCTCAGCCTGGTGAAGCAAAAGAGATTGAAATCTCTGTGTGTGGCTCGATAAAAGATACCTCTTCACCAAGTGTGTCAGATAAATGCACGGTGATGGAGAAAACCACGGTACAAGTAACCGTGGCGGACTTAAGTAACATCCCCAGTGGTGGGCTGTCTGCAATTCTGTCCTCCAACAGCGCTACTATAGATCCTTGCATCACATCTAGCAGCAATAGTGGGAGTAGTAGCGTCAACAACAGCACTTGTACAGTAAGCATTGCACCTGCATGCACCATCAACTCCCTGAAATCTGTGGGAGGTATGAGCTGCCAAGATTCAGCTAAAGGGTCCAATATTACTAGCATTTACACAAAACGGTCCAGCTCGACGGCGGTAAGCACAGTCAACTGTTTACCACACTTGTATGCACCCGATCTGCCGTTACCAAAGAGACTCACTGAATCGGTTCAGCGCTTAGTGAAGCCCATTCCGTCAAGTGATCACTCTCTACCTCGCGTCCGCAAATCTCCTGTCAGCAGCTCCATCCGGCAGCAGACGGCCAGCACCTCCACGTCCCCCCGTTCTAGTCCACATCACGGCAAGCACACATCTTTAGGGTCACCACGAGCACAGACTGTGGTTGATCACATCATCACTTCATCACATGCCTCTGTTTCTCCCCTCAGTTCATCACTTCCTTCTAGTCAGAACTCTTGGGCAGTCCCCTCTCACACAAGCGCCCCCCAGTTATCAACTATGCATAATATCACACAGAGTTTACCACCTCCACAGGTTAGCTTTGTGCACTCCACCATGGCACAAATCACCTCGAGTGATCAACAGCCCTTTCCTCAGGTCCACACTGGAGAGAACCTAGTAACTCCGGCTTCTTTGACCACAGTATCTGCTGCGGCCATGGTTTTGGGAGCCAACAGGCTCAGCCTATCTAATTTGGAACCTCAGCAGCTTGCTGTAGATGTTACTGAGGACAAAGCTACAGATGCTTCTGAGCGAGTTCCAAATTCCTTCGATGTGCCTATAAGTCTCAACACGACTCAGGTCCTGCCACAACAGCTCTTTCCAACTGATACGTCAACACCCTCAACAACAACAGTGTTGGCTGCTGTTGTCCCAGAGTCTCAACATTGTGACTTAAGTAGAAAATTTGATAGCCAAGTTGATGACCAAGTGGTCAGTTTTATCACTTCATCGGCCAGTAAAGGCAGCATTTCCTCTTCCGCTACTAACACCATCACCAACACCCCAATCCCCTCCTCACACACTGCTGATATGATCCATGGCAAGTCTGTCTCGTTTGTAGACAGTGTTGGTACTGCCAATATTGCCATCACATCAATTGAGGCAACTAGCCCTACTTATGTTACTGCCGTAGCCAATCAAGTAAACTTGATTACAGCCACTATTGCTGGTCAGTCATCAACATTAGCCATGTTGACGAATGAGCCCCAGCAACTAAGTAATTCTTGTGTTAATCAAAGCATGTGTCTAAACTTGGAAAATGCAGGACTTCAAAGTGGTGCTATTAATTCTGATTCTAGTAGTAGTAGTAATATGTTAGGTGGAGAAACAAATAATAGTAATATCAATAATAATAATAATAATAATACAAGTATAACAGTGCCCTCTAGTAATAATTCAAATAGTTTGTCAGGTCAACAGGGCATCCCTAGTTTACAAGGAGAGGTTTGCTCAAGTCGAGCTTCTAAGCCAGTCTCTGAACAACTCTCTTCTTCAGCAACAATAACAGCATCTGTAACATCACTAACTGTGACGTCTCCATCTGGAGGTGTTCATCATGCACCGCTAGAAGGTCGTCTGGGTGAAAGTGTACATTTAACTGTTCAGGATAATGGTAAGAGGTCTATTGAAAATTCATCAGACAAAAGTGATAAGCGTTTGCGCATTGTTGTAGAGTGTGAGAAAACATCTGATATTAGTCCAATGGAAACAAGTTGTTCTTCAATTAGTGTGACAAACGTAAGTGATTCGGATAGTGCCATGACGTGCCTGGAGGTGGCCGCACCGGTGCTAGGAGGAGCTTCGGTCCAGGAGTCATCATCTACATTAAATAGTACAATTCTCACTCGAGATGAAGCTGCTATGCACAGCAACATGGAAGTGGACACCTTGAACCATGCTGATTGTGCAGTCAACAGTGGTCGGACCGAAGCCACCAATGCGTCCCACCCCAACCCTGAGTTCCTTCAGTTACCTGGGCCGACAAGCTTGGGCAATGGAAAGCCGCATCACTTGTTGGAACATTCTCTCAGGGAACGTGACAATGACGCTAATAGAGCAGCAACCAATGCAAGTGGTGCGGCTGATGGTGGTGTTGATCCTCAGTTGAAGGATTTTGGTGCTACTCTTGACAGCAACATGCAAGATACATCATTGCACACAACGGGCCATCGGCCATCACAACCTGCTGTATCAGCAGCTGATGCACATGGCACTGGTACCACCATCTCCACAACTACCCTTAACACTACCACTACCACTTCCACCACCACCACACACAAGACTTCAGAAAGTAACTCTATAGTTTGTAATGATGTACAAAATGTAGAAGCTACATCAGCTCTGACAATGGCTGATAGTACTTATGTTGCTATCAATGACTGTCAACATGGACAGCAACAGTCATTGACAAGAGAGACACCTGTACAAATGGATGGCATTGAGCACAATGTAACGATAGCAGATGGGGATCAGATATTGACCAGCAGCAATGCAAACTTTTCTCAGGCAGCAGTTACTAGTGTTGAGGCTGGTGCCAAACTGCAGGACACTGACAAAAAAGAAAACCTGGTTTCAGAGAACTGTATTCCAAGCTTGGATTCAATCAACAACCAGGAAGCTATAGAGAACAGTGCCACGAAACCAAATGAAAGTGGCATCAAAGTGGAAACCTCGGATTCCAAAGAGCCTCTTCATGAAACCAAGCCTCAGCCTTTGCGACGAGGAAGGCCCGTTGCAGAGCGAAACGTTTCAAGTAGTAAGTGATGTTAATTCTTGCAGGGGTGGGGGGGGTTACCATTTGTTGCATTATATTCGATTGAATTATTTTGATTAGTGTCTTTCCTATTACAAGTGAGATATTTAACTAATTAATTTTTTTTTCAATGATGCACAACTTGTACTCTTAATTTTTGGATGGCATCCCCCCCCCAAAAAAAAACAAAACAAAAAAACCTGACCTTATATGTGAAATTAAGGCATCTGATAGGCTAATGTTTCACCAGACACTATAGATTAGTAATACTTGTAGGGTATCTTATATGACATTGTATACAGTAATATGTTAATGATGTTCAATATCATAAAATATCAAATTAAAGAAATTATTTTAATTTCATACCTGTATTTCTGACTCTTAATTATTAATAATAAACTAAAATTGTTAATTCAAATGATTTAATTTATAGTTGGACTGTTTTTGCTTGCCTTAGATGCATAGATGAAAGAATACAAGATTTTTATATTTTTAAGATAAAAATTACTTAGGCATATAGAAGACTAACCATTATAGAATGTCTAGTGTACTACCAGAATTTAGCTATAAATATGTGTGAATTCACTCCCTCAAGTCCTGTAAACTCCACTGAGGAGCATGGTACTACAATCCTCAACATGCTAGGTGATGCCACTGTGGTTTCAGTAGGAAGTAGGTTTTTATGGATAAAGTTGCTAGCCCTATGCCCAACCAATTTTGAATTCAAAGTTGTCCTTCTCCTTGACTGGTTGCCAGCCAAGGCCGAAGAGCCTAGTTTGTCCTACTGTTTAACCCATAGCTGGTTGGAAGAACATAAAGCTCGCCAATTTCTCATTCTAAGCTGCTATCCATTTCACCACCTGCACATATATATATATATGAAGGAAAGAATGTTGAAATTTTCTTGCCCAACCCTTTTCCCAAAATCTGACTAAATGAACAAACATTGGGATATTTAAAAAAAAAAAAAAAATTTTTTTTTGTTCTGGCTGAGTATTTTTCAGCACCCGCTCATACAGTAAAATATACTGCTTGTTCATATTTATGGTAATATTGTCTTTATTAGTAGCAAGGTCAGCACCATCAGTTTCAGACACCTTTATCAACTGCCACATTTAAAGTTTTATAGTTTTAATGTTGAATAGAAAGAAAACGTTTGGAAGGTTCATGTACTTAATGGGCTCTCCTATATCATAAATAATGCTACAGCATTTTAAACATTGTAATGATCTTGAAATCTTCAGAATATATTCCCCTTAGAAATGATTGATACTTTACTGTTGGTTTGGGCCAAAAATTCATAGCGGTTTCAATAGGTGGCATTTGAACACGTTATTTTGTTTCACACCTGATTGAAATTTATGACATATGTACATATTTTGAAAGATAACATTTAATTGCATCTCTCTATACTAGTTCTGTACCGATTGTAAATTTTAACTGTTTTTATATTAAAAGTAAAAAATGGTGGAAAATGAGATGCATTTTCATCATTTGATCCTTATTTATTTCTGGAAAGGCAAAAAAATAAAAACTAAAAAAAAAAAAACACCTATCCAAATAGGGAAACAGATATGTGCCATGTATGGAGATGATGTCAACTGAGAGTATTGTTCAGAAATGGATATTTTAATCAGGAACTAATGTTAATTATTGATAATCCAGGTTATATGACATAGACATGCAAAAATATTTTACATATAAGACATTTGAAGACACTTGGATATGTGAATTGCTATGTTTGATTGTCTCACAATTTAATAGAAAAAATATTTTATAGACTGCATTTTTATCTACCATTTGCTGCTCAAATGCAACAAAAGTGATCTATTTTTTTAAAAGAACAATCACTGGCAATGACAAAAGAATTGTTTACAACAATGTGAAGAAAAAAGGTCCTGGGATGAAATGAGCCATTACTAATCACTTCAAAAGTTGGTCTGCATCTGAAGAAGGTGATGCGGTGTATCTGATAAAATTGGAAGGACATTGTGTATTATGAACTTCTTCCACAAAATCAGACACTGAATTCAACCAACAACCATTTCTAATTGGACTGATTAAAGGCAGCAATCAATGAACAGTGTCCAGAATTGGCCAATTGGAAAGATGTCTTCTATCAGGACAATCAATGCCTGTCTTTACGTCTCTTTGCAGACCCGGTAGAAATTCTACTACACCCACCATACTCATCTGACCTTGTGCCTTTTAATTACTGTTTACTTGAATCCCAACAAAATTCTCTTGATATTCTTTCGAAGACTGTCGAAAACCCCTTTCAAATTCTGAGGAGATGAAATCATGAAGCTGCTTCAAAGATGATGAAAGTTAATGAAACAAAATGTCACATATGTGGTTGAATAATTCTATGCACAAATATAGAATATCTAAATACTTGGAATTCACTTAAAAATGCTACAAACGTTTGGTCCAACCCAATACATTTATTCCTCTTAAAAATGCTTAATACTTGATACCATTTATTCCCTATATTAATACTTTATTACATTTATGAAGATGTTCTTTCTGCTGTTATCTAATTTTTAATGACTACTTTTGAGACTCTACAAAGTCACTTTTGAAAATGAAAATAAATTTTATCTAAATTTCTAGTATCATTCATATTAGAATTTATTAGTCTATCCCCAAAAGCACTCTAACCTCTGGGTCGCTCTTTTTAATACCTGATTTTCAATTTGCAATGTGAATATTTGCTAAACTAGACCTTTTCTAAATTGATCATCCAATTCACTTGTCAGAGTAGCAGCACCTGTTAGGAAGCCAGATATAGGCAAATAGTTAACCTCCAAACTGGGGTCAAAACATTATGAAAGTATAAAAATACATTTTTTATAGTAAAAAAAAAAAAAAAATTGCAACAATACATTTTTTAGAAAATATAACCAGTAATATATTTTTGAAAAATAAAAAATTTTAAATTATAGAGGAAAAATATTTTTAACATTTTTTTTGTTTTTTTTTTTGTGTTTGCTTAATCATTTTATTTTTCTTTACTAACAACCACATAAAAATAAATGCAGTTATTCAGTATTTTTTTTACTTAGAGCAGCATGAAAAACTACTATTGACTGATCTTGAATAAATATTCATTTGTTTACATTTATCAGTGATAGTATTAAACCAATGAAGCATGACCCAAATGATTATTTCAAAGCAAGGTTGAGAGAACTAATTTTGGGTTTTCCATCTGTGTGCTATATGTTCTAATTTATTCTATTAAGCATACTTTAAATTTGTTACAATATAATTTGATTATTAAAAGGAATTGTCATTTAAAAAAAAATAATTTTGGTTGGAATTAAGTAGGAGTTATTTCCAACTTACGAAATTTAGGAATTCATTTTAATAATTCAGAAGAGATCACTAATTACTTTCTCAATGAAAAAAAAAATGAAAGGATTTATAAAGTTGTAAACCTATTATTTTATTTTTTTAATAGTAACATGAAGAATAATTCTTGAAAACAAGCTTGTTTTAGATAATACTGAAGTTTAATATTGGGTATTAGTGCAGTGTGTTGTACTGTATTAAGATTATTTTTTATATGCAACACATATAATTTAATTTTTTTCTTGTTACAGGTACTCGAGAACGCTCTCCTGTGAGGGTACGAAATAAGCTGTGTGATGCTGCTGCCACATCCACTGCTGAACATAAAGAAGAGCTGCCAAATGAACCTTTGAAGCGATCCACACGCGGCTCCACCAGACCAAAAGGTAAGCACTTCAATAAAGTGCATCGCTTTCATTTTATTGCCCATTCTGGCATTAATTATTAAATTTATTCTAAAAAAATATCAAGTTACATTAAAAAAAAAAGATACTGTTAGTTTTATTTTTTAATGATGATAAAAAAAGGAAAAATATAAAACTTAAACTGGTTGTTTTATCAATTCTTCCTAAATGCTTTCAATTTAAAAGAATTTGCAACAAACATTTGTGGAAATATTTTTGTACATGAGATTGTTTTGACACATCGAGTTACCTCCCTTGATATCCTGCCCCCCCCCCGTAATGTTTTTTTGCTGTGTCATTTATATATTATATAAACCTTCACAAAATTAGATCATTATTTAGTTATATAACCCTTAAAAGAATAATAAAATTATCATTTATATACTTTTCATTAAAGCTTATATTGTTCATGTTTTTTTTTTTTATTCATTTCTAAATTCTTTTTAGAGACTATTATTTTTTATTTTCAGTTGTCCATTTTATATTATATAGGTTGTATTGGATGAGAATAAAAGTTTATAGCAATTTTTAAGCTAATTTCAAATTTGGCAACTTTCCAGGTGATGAACTGGCTTAAGTGGTTTTTGCAGGCTTCTAGGTAATTGAATAATCTGCTTGTTAAGAGAATTTTGTAGGGATTGAAATAAGTGGTAAATGGTGGGTGTAGTAAGTCATCCGAGCCCAGCTGTATCACTTTATACCCAATGAAGTCTGGCTTTGTCTTGATAGAAGATGGCACTCTTCTGATTGGCCAATTTTCACCAATTGCTGTCTAATCAGTCTATTTGGGAAGTAGCTCATAATGCACAATACTTTTCCAATCCCACCAGATAAAAAACATCACTTCCTTCAGATGCAGACTGTTTTTTGAAGTGATTAGCAGGAGCTATTTCATTTTCCCTAAGACATTTTTCATTCCACATTGTTGTAAACAATTCATTTTCCATTTCCTCTGATCATTCTTTTCAAAAATGGGTTGTTTTTGTTGTGTTTGAGCAGAGAATTGCAGATGTAAATGCAGTCTATTAAACTGTGAAGCACCCAAACATTGTAGTGATTCACATGTCCATGTGTCTTCAAATATCTTATAATACTTATATGAGATATACGGAGTCTCTCTGCAATGTTTCATATTAATGTGATCCAGATTATATTTAATCCATGTTTTGATTTGGTCATAATGAACAACTTCAGAATAGCCAGCATGTTCTGTCTTCCAGATTCAAATTTACACTTTTAAACTTAGTGAGCTACTTATAAACAATACTTTCAGCTATGGCACCATCTTAAATGGCACATTTTTTTTGTTTTTTTTTTTCTGTTTGTACAATTTTTTTTATTCTCTGGAAATAAAAGAGCATCAAATGAAAAAACACATCTCATTTTCTTTCATTTTTACTTTCATTGTAAAAACATTGAAAATTCACAATCCACACACAAATCATAGAAAGATGCATTGAAATATAACCTTTTAGAATATGTATATGTGTCATAAATTCCAGTCATGTGTGAAATAAAACCACTTGTTCAAACATCACATATGGCAAGACACTACAAAATTTTATACCATCCCACTATTAATTTTATTTGTATAAAAATTACAAGTAAAACATTTTGAATTATATAAACTGAAATTATGATTGTAATACATTCTTTATATATGTAAGTTTTATCAATCAGATTATTATATTTTAAAAGCATTAACAAAGTATTGTGCCTAAATATGCAGTTAATGTAGGCATAGTTCATATAACTGCTGTAAAATGAAAAATGCTACAGTGTAATTGTGTTAAAAAAAGACTTTGGATATAAAATGTACAGATTGCTTTTTTTGTATTTGCAATTAAAAAAAATATAAAATAATCGATAACGTTTGAATATTAATTTTTTTAAAATTTTGTTTACGTTTGTAATATGAAGTAAAGACTTTGGCTAAAATAAATTGAAAGATTATTTTTCATTGTTTAAAGCATAAAAAAAAAATTGATACTGGGAAATGTTGAAAAAAATGTCATAAAATGTCAATTTAATTTTTTCTACTTTTTTTTTCCAGAATGAGACTTTGTATTAACATATTTTAACAATTTGTGTGCTTTCCAAAATTTGATGAGCTTTACATGAACTGACATTTGCTTCCATCTCATTGACCTGTTGCATTAACATTCTATTTCTCTCTTTCTCTATCCTTCTCTCTTCACTGCAATCTTAAGTTATTTTCTCAAAAATTTGATTTTAAACTGATTTGCTGTTGGCTCACATGGATGGATGGAATTTTTGTTACTTGTAATTAATTGCTAAACTATTATCAAGATTATCAGTTTGAATAATTGTAATGTTTATTATCAGCCACTTATCACAATACATAACCTTTTTTTTTACATAGTACTTTTTCTGCTAAATTTTCTCTGAAAATCTCTTAAACTTTTCGTATAGAGGCTTTAGAGAAGAAAGGTTGCTTTAAATTTACTGTACATCATAAAGCTATAAATACATTTGTCTTGATATTTTGAATCACAAGAATATTCAAATTTAAATTTGATCTATTCCTATTATTAAATGAAAAATAGGCATTTATGAAATAAAACTTAAAATTATATATTAAAATTTTCCAAACCCCTTTCAAGTGTTGCACCCATCCCACAAAAAAAAACAAAACAAAAAAAAGCAAGGAAGCAAAATTAAATTTGAAAATTTATTTTTTAATAGTTCTTTGGAGTGATTTTTGTGAACTGTACTTTTATATAATAAATATGTATCATTGTAGATGCACCTTTATAATTATTTAATATACTCCTGAAATCTGTAGAGCATTTATGTAGTTATTTCTCTTCATATCAAAACAATAAATTGAAAACTACGGTTGGGGAATCATCATTAAGTAGCTGTAATGACCATTTTGAAATTTTTTATTAGTATGTTTAATAATATATCTTGGGTAGTGTTGTCATCATCTAAGTAAAAAGGATAAGTTCCTTTATGTTCTTTTTGTAATTTTATTTTAGCTTCAGTTATTAATATAAGGTAGATAATGACAAGTGAAATGTATATACAATTTTAAAAATATTTTACCATGGCATCTTGATTCTTATGTGTTAGCCATATGTTCTGTCTACTTGATTCTTTTCTTTTATTCTCTTTGCTTGTCACAAGCTGACACTTCCATCTTGCTGCTTTGCATTTGCTTCTGTAAAATAAAACTTTTTTTCTGAATAAACTGAAAGGCTTCTGTTTTACAATTCATTATGAATTCCTTTGTTGGTTATTCAAAAGAGCAGCAGTATAAAGTGGAATTACTCTATGAACTTTGGTTTCCTGAGCTTTTTATATTTCATACTTGCTTTTCTCCATTTTAAGTTTCCATCTCAACTTTTGCTTGTTGTATCTTCTATCCTTCATTTTGTCTCTACTTGCTAAACAAGAATTTCTCTATTCCCTTTATTGCTTTGTAGATCTGCTCTCACTCTCTTGGCTTTTCACATATAAAGCTCAAGACATCATATGACTTTCAGTTTTATTTTTTCAAATACTATCAAAAAAAAAAAAAAAAAATCTTGTAAGTTTAAAAAAAAGAAAAACAAACAACAAAAAAAAAAAATTATCCTTTTTTTTTTTTTTTTTTTTTTTTTTTTTTTTTTCCAAACCAACTATTTTCAGGTTTCTCTGGAGTTCGGTCCAGATGTCCATTAGGGTGTGAGGATCATAAAAGTGCCACGCCTCCTAGAGTTGCACCTCCTCCTCCTCCTCCTCCTCACACCACCACCACTACCACCACCCCTGGGCCTGGCTGTGCTGCTAGTAAGAACTTAGCTTTACCACGGGGAGTGGATACTTCTGCACCAGTATGAAGATTTTTCAATTTTTCTATTTTTAGAGTAGGGACTCAAGTCCATTTATTTTACATTCTTTTATGTATGTTATTGTTTTATGTCAGCATGTGGTAAATGTAAAATTTCCTTACTTTATTAGGAGCTTAAATAGGATTTATTATGTAGGCCACTTTGGATAATATTCTTTGTATTATCATCATTTTTTATTTTTTTATTAAATATATTTATTGCATTTATTTATATTATACCAGCTGTTGTAAAGTGCATAAATGTTTGGAAAAAGAAAGAAAATGATGGCACTTACTGATGAAAAACTTTTGCTGGTATAATTCTTTCAAATTTCTACTTAAAATATGCAATTTTTTTCCCTCTTTAGTAAAATCTTGCTTAGATTTTTCTGTTTAAACAAATTCTATTCACCTATATAAAAAACAAGAGTTTTGAAACATTGGCAATGCTGCATGTGACTCTATATAGCAGATACATTATAAAAGAAGAAATAGGGGTGTGTTGAGTGGTGTGGCACTTTCAGTAATGATGTCACTTTTATTGACTTTCTTTTTATTGGTATATTTGGTTGTTTTGATTTCTGAATTGGTCATCTAGACATTGCTCAGTTATTACACATCATTTCTAATTCATGGTCAGTCAATTTAGTAGGTGCAAAATTTTGCAATATCCAAAACTCTAAAAACCTGTGTTTACTTGATATTTTCTTAAATACCAGGCTTTATTCATAGGACTTAAATGTTTTTATGCATAACTCTAGTTAAGAAAAAATATCAGATTAAAAAAATGGAGATGAATTTTCACAAAATATGTAGCTTTTATAAGTTAAAACTGAAAAGGTCAGTTTAATCTTATTTCTTATATAAGCGAACAATTTTCAAACAGATAATCTCTTTTGTTACCTTTTTGAAAGTTTTTATATATATATATATATATATATATATATATATATATATATCAAGGGTTTTCATTAAAGAGTTGTCTTGGAGCATTTCCTGTGTATGTAAAAATGAAAAAAACATTGATTAATCCTTCTCTATAGAGTTTTTACTCTGAGCTACACATTTTTCCCATTGCTTGATTCACTTGTAGAAACCTTTCTTGTAAAGAACTCTGCAGGTTAGGACTGCAGCTGGGACCTCATTTCATTGATCAGTGTATCATCACTCTCAAAGTACCTACTTTTCAAATATAACTTCTTAGAGAAGGGGTTAAAAATCAGATATTGTTAAATCAGGAAAAAACTACTATGTGGAATAATTTTATAGCCTCAAGAACATACTTTCATTTGTACAACATAGGAGTTGTGTACTGATGTTCTATCTTGCAAGATCCAGACATCTTTTGCTGAACATTCTGCATCCATAAGTTTTGATGGCTTGCCATAATTTCAACATCAATGAGATATATGTTGGCTAGGAAATCCATAGATACTGCATCATTTTGGTACCCAAAATACTGTCAGCGTTACTGTGCCAATAAAAGGTCTTTCAGTGTGGTGGGCAGCAAATCACTTTGCTTCTGTTGTTTGGATTGCATTTCAGTCCTTGGGTCAAGGTGATGAAGTAACATTTCAGCCTGTGTAATTAGTCAAGTGAAAAAATATTGGACTTTCCTTGACACAAGGCTTAAATTTCATAGGAGCAAGTGTTGTTTGCTGACAACTTTGTAGAAAGGTGTGAGCAAATGACACTTTCAATATATGCAGGACTTTATAGATTTTTTTTTTTTCATATACCTCACACTAATCTTGACCCGTCTACTATTTCCCAAACTGTTATATGGCAGGCTGCACTTGTTGGGTGATGTCCCTATCAATGGCCAAGTGAGGACAACCAGAAATAGAGGCTGGTTTGGAACTAAATTTGAAAGGCCAATACCAACACTTAATAACACTACAGGATGAGGGCATCTGGTCCATACACTGTAATCATCTTAAATTGTTTTATGGCATGTTGCCTTTTGAATGCAAGAACCTGATTATTACTCTGTACTCGGCCAGGTCTATTTTCACACCTTATTGCATATTCATACCTGAGACAGAAATCCATATAAGGATTCACGTTTTTACATGTGCAATTATTGGAAGTAGTGGGCCAGGACAAATCTTTAATGAATTCTTCCAAATGTTATAGAAATGATCCTTTGTATTTAATGATGAAGAAAAATAGTCAGTATTTGGTAATTTTTCCATTTGTTTCATCTTTATTTTATAGCATAAGCAATGGCATAATATCAGTTAATTTTTTCCCACCAAGGTGATGGAAAGAATTCTTCATTACAATGTTACTTAATTGTTGTTGTTTTTTATATATATGATGTAATATTTGTGTCAGAAGTTGTTATCCAGAATCATAATGTTTTCATGTGGTTGACTTGGTTGGATGAGTTGTGCATCACTATCAATATGTAACAATATATGAGTGATGTATTATACATACATTCATCATTTTAATTTAGTACAAGATATTCAAAATTATGAAGCTGATAGAAATGGTCACATTTTGGTTAATGTTTACATAATCAACTCTTTAAAAATTGAAAAGTATGTTTTTAGAATAATTACAATAGTACTTGCTTTGATTATGTTGATCAATATTTAGAAGAAAAGTATTTATTTGTAACATGTCTTATATTCTTTTGGAATAAGTAATCCATTGTTATTTGACATATTGAAGACAGCAATTAACTTGGTGTTCTATTTGAAATGAGTAACTTAGATCTTATTTTAATATAAAAGATTTTTCAAACTTTTTTTTATCAATTTTTTTTTAATATATTCTTCTGCACCTTTTGCAGGTGACTGGAAATGATTGTTGTGCTTCTATCCTAATAAAGCATCTTATAAGCATTGTACTTTGATATCTACTACTACTACTGAAACTTTTCTTTTAAATTCTGTATTAATTAACAAACATAGGATAAAATTGGTTTGAATTCATATTCTATTTTGTTTATAATGGATTTTGTAGTCAGTACAATAATTGAGAGTTGTAAATTTTTGCATTGTCTGGATTTTGTATAGAAAAATATCTTGTTTTATTGGTCATTTTAGCTCTTTTTTTTTTTTAAGTATCTTGATAATTGTTCTTAATAGCATATTTGGTGTTTGCTATGATTGTTCGTAATTCTAATTATTCAGAATTAGATAATATTATATTTTTAGTTTCTGTGTATGTTGTTGTTTTATTTTTATTTTTTACTTAGTGGTTCACTTTTGAAATGATGTCTTTACTCCCTAAAAGAACAGAGAATTAAATATTTTATTCAAATTCAGATACACCTGTGTGCAAGCATATACACTATTTCATTAATAACATTTTTTTAGAACTTGTAACAGTTGTTTAGAACTACACATAAAAGCATTTCTTCATTTCTTTACTTAGGGTGTTAAGTTCTTACTTGTTTCATTAAACAAAATTAATATGACAATGGCTCAGAAATCCAAATAAACTAGCAGTGATCATTTATTATCTTGATCATCATTATTGGCTCAAAATATAAAGTTTTTTGCTTTAGAAAAATTTTAAATGTTTGTATGCTACAAATAAAGAAGTCCTGTCTGATTATTTTAGTATTTCTTATGAATTTTAATGCTATGATTATATTGCTAAGTGTTTTCCTTCACAAACACTCAAAATCTAGCCATTTATAATGTCATATTAATTTTTTAATAATGCCACATGAGGTTTTATATTTGTCAATACATGTAAAAAAGGAAAAAAAAGTTTTGCGGAAGAATCAGTTTCTAGGCTAATTGTTAACATTGATTTAACACTAAAAAAAAATAATTATTTGTGAGTTCTAAACTAGTTATAAATTGATTTAAAAAATGACCTTCTGCTGAGGTCATTTTACTTCAGAGTATTGGTTATTCCATATTCTATAACTTACTTCATAAAGATTTAGGATGTTTAACATTTTATGTTGAATAAATATATTAAAAAATGAAAAAAATGTTCAATATAATCAGTTTTCATTATATTAATGTTTACTTAGAACATAGCCAAGTTTTTGTCAAGTGGCCATTTATATAAAGAGCAGCCTGCAAGCATTGAATTGTCCATTGAATATTTTCAAATCCAGTATCCTTTTCACTGCTATTGCAAAAGTACCATGTGGAGCTTTAATTTGCTTAAAAATAAAACTTAATATAGTAATCATGACAATTTTTATGCAGTTTAAACTTTGAGAATGAGGAAATGAACTGTGGATAACAGTACAGTAACTGCCTCATGATTTTATTAACCCATTAATGCCCACTATTAAAAAAAAAAAAAAAAAAAATAATGAGATGTGGCTATGAATGGGTTATAGATAGACACTTGTATTTGATAATTGATTTTTATTTAATTTTTATAATTAATACAGTCTTTTATGGTTCAAAAAGACATTAATATTTGTCACTTGTAACCAGTCAGTAATGTAATCAGCAGGTGATTTTGAAACAAAAGATTGATAATTTTAAAGAACATTTTAAGCAATTTATATGAGGCTGACTCATGAACAAAATCAAACTTGTTTTTGCATATTTTGATGTTTATCTCATTTCAATTATAAATGAAACAAAGTAAGATTTAAGTATGTTTTTCACTTCAGTGAAACAATTTGAAAAAAATGTGAAAGGTTTCAAGTTAGAATGAATAACCTCTGGAATAATATAACACAAGTTAAGTTTGATTTTTATACCTTTACTGATTGGATTCTAATTTGTTATATTTATTTTGCATTAAGAATTATTTATTTTTTTAAGTCTAAAATTATTTCCAATATGATTGTAGTAAATATAATACTATAATGTTAAACAAATACTGGTAATTTTTTTTTTTTTTTTTTTTTTTTTTTTTTTTTTTTGACTTTACATTTTGTGAGAGTTGTTTCTCTGAATGCTCATAGTAATGACAGTGTCTATTTAATGAGTTGTCCCTTCATTTATTCACACTAATTTACTAGCATTGGAGAAACAGTGGCAAAGAAGTGAGTCTCTATTCACTGATACTGCCAATTACCTTCTATTAATTTGTTCTGTTGTTAATTCTATTTTTAAGAGTATGAACTTTTCAATTGGTTAATTATAATTGCTTAACCCAAAACTTTATCTGAATCAGAAATTCAATTAATGAGCAAATGAAAATTTTGTCCACTTCAGACAAGTCATTTTGGGGGCTGTTGTTTACTTTGTTAGATTTACAAATTGTTTACTAGCATGTTTGATCTTGGCTATTTCTAAGTTTTCTTATATTGAGTCCTTTGAAATTAAACTAGGAAGATTAATGGAAGCCTTATAAGGATAGCATAAGAAGTGGCTTGAAATTATTAATTGTTATTTTTGGAAAAGAAAAACTTACTGCATTTTATTTCTTGACTGAGTGAAAAGATTTAACTATTTAATTGTTACTCATTAAAAGAAACTTATTGTATTCATTTTTTTCTGTCTTACAGATCTATCAGATCAAGTGTGGCACAAACGACGCCGTTCATCTCGTGACCACAGATAAAGATTGATGTGGTCATTATGCCTCTCGTTCACCATTATCATCACCACCACCACCACCACCACCACCACTCTATCTGTGCTGTTGTCTGCAGTTGTTACAATTCATTGTACATAGCCACACTATTCATTATTCATTCATCTACTGTTGCTCACAAGTGACGCGGTGGCGTTGACCTTAAAAAATTCATGAAAAATAAAACAAACACCAAACCACCACCACTACACCCAGCATCATCCCAGTATATTTCATACATATGTTTTATGTGTAAATAGCAACAATATATTTGTAAATATGTAGCACTAATGGAGTATTTAAACTGTGGACTAAATTATGCCAAGTACTTCCGAAAGTAACTGAGGAAATAAAAATGTTACATATTATCTGTGAGAGAGAGAAAGAAAAAATGAAAGAGGAAGAAAAAAAAAAAAAAAGGAATCATTGAAATTAAAGGGAAAAAAATGGAAAAAAAAAAAAAAAGTCAAAAAAGAAAAAAAAATGAAAAAGACCCCCTCTCTTTACAAAAAACAAAGAAAAAAAATGAAACAAAAAACTAGATGAGCAACCACAGCCAAGAATTAAGATGAAGCACAATTACAAAACCCCCTTTGTACAAAGTCATTTTGGTCTGGACAGTGTAAAAAACAAAAAAAAAAACAAAACAAAAAAAGTAACAAAAAAACAAAAAACAAAAAAAAAACAAAAAACAAAATGTCTAATTTAAAACCCAATAAAAACTCTCCTACCATTCTATTGTAGCCTTGCCCTTACTTCTCCTCTTCATCTACTGCTCCTCCTCCGTGTTTGCTACTATTCACTTGGACATAACTACTCCCAACACTTGGACACTTTTACACAAAAACACACAAAATGGAAAACAGCATTTCTTGTGATAGCTTTTTCAGCCCTCTACCTTTTTCAACTGTTTTTCTTCTGGCTGTTAAAATTTCTCCAATTCTTACATAATTAGTGGGGAAAAAATTTATAAAAAAGAAAAAAAAAAAAAGTTTTTTTTCTTCAAAATCCTTCTTCCTCTACCCTATTTCTCTCTTATTTTTCCAAATTTTTTTTCTTTTCTTTTGGGAAAGAGTTTTTTGTTTTTTTGTTTTTTTTTTTTCTCTCAGTGCCATGTTTGGTAAAAATGGAAACAAAAATAAATAAAAATCCCTTCCTTCCCCCACTCCAATTTTTAAAACTGATTGAATTGCCTTTTTCTTTTAAAGTAGACCAAACTAATCAATAAGGAAAAGAAAAAAAATCTAATAAAGCCAGGTAAATAGGAATTAACTTTTTAACTAACTGATTTCAGCTAGTCCAAAAATTCCAATGTTTATACCTTCTTCGTCATTTCACCCTCCTGTTCCCTTGTTTAATAAAACAATTTACAAATTTTCTACTTTTTTCCTCAGATTCTTAAAACATTTTTTTCACTATCAGTTGAAATATTTTTTCTCCCAACAACATTTTCTTGCTGTTTTTTTTTCTTTGCTTTCTTTTCTTAACTTATTTGCCGTGGTGTTCCTAGTTTTTATTGTTTATACATATATTATGTATGTGTGTTTTTATATATATATAAATATACATGCACACATACATATGTATGTGTGTAATTATGTGTATATATATATTGTATGTAAAACAAACAAAAACAACTTATCCTAGCCATTCTATAGGATCTGAATAGTTAATCTATTGTTAATTATTGCACATTACTTGTGCATAGTTTGTTTGGGTTCAGTTTTGTTCATATTTTTTTTTTTTATAATTTAAAAAAAATTGATTTGGTTATTTTCAGTTGAAATGTGTAATATATATATATATATATATATATATATATATATAATCCCATCCCTGCTCACTATCCTTCCCCATCCTACTTCTTATTTTACTGTTGCCCTCAAAATAACTACATCAATAACAAAAAGGAAAAGAAAAGGAAAGAAAACTGTAAACATTTACTATTGTGCCCTGGTCCTCACCTCTTGTCCCCACCTTTGTTCTCCTCCTCCTCCAGTGAGTGTGCATTGAGCTCTCTTTTGTAGTCCTAGATGCTGCTAGTTTGTGTGTAGCTCCTACAGAAGCTCGGTGTGCAAGGTCTGTATATTTTTTATTTTTATATTTGGTACTTGTGAATAAAATATCAAATTTTAAAGTGTTTGTGCTTTCAGAGAGTTTTGATTAAATTATGAAGTAAAACAACAAAATAAGAACCATTTAATTGTGATAAAATAACAAATTCTAAGGACTAACCAAAATTATAATAATAATAATAGGTATAATGATAGATATAATTTCTAATGTGTGTAAATATTTTAAGTGAACAAATATACTGAAAGATACACAAACAATTTGTGCCTAGCTTTTTTTTTCTTTTTTTTCTTTCTTTAAAAATTCAACCTATTGTCACTTTTTCTTTTTTTCCTTTTTTTCCTAACCTTTCCTCTCTGTGACTTTAATGATTTACAATAGCTGCAAGAAAAAGGACCAGTTGTTTCTTGCTGCAAGCAAGCCTTAAAAGACAATTAAAAAAAAAAAAATGTGTGGAGGGGGATGAAGAAAAAAAAAACGTCCTGTCTGTTGTATATATGATTTTAAGTTGAGTGCCGTGTCTAACATAACCCACTCCCTGAACCTTCTACAAAAATACATGTGGACATGCACGTGTGAATCTGCAAGCAGTGATAGGTATCCACTGGCTTGGCTACGTTGGACCTGGAGATTCTCTTGCAGAAATAAAGAACTCATCATTAAACAGGAATTGACTTGTACATTATTTTCTGTGTGTAGGGCGAAAGTGACACTTGAAAATTCAAGAGAATGAAGTCTGATTTTGTCGTCTTTTGTGTTGTAAAGTGCCAAGGAAAAGGGCAAGTGTAAAAGAATTAAAATGGTAGACGAGCAGATTGCAAAGAAAGAAATATTTGGGATGCACCATAACTTGTCAGTCATCACTTGCATCCAAATGTTCATTCTGGTTACTTGAAACAGGTTTTTATTTTTAAAAATGTTAGAATTGTTCTATATGTTAAATTTCGAATCTATATTCTGTTGGTTTTCTGTTTTATTCCAACCAAGTTTAGATTTTTTTAATGTTGCTTCATTCATTGCTGTTTCTAATTTGCTAGCTACTTCATGTACCTTTTGGAGAAGGAAGTGAAAGCTGTTAATAAAATGGTTATTGACTCAATATGTTCATGTTAGGTTTTATAAAGTATTGACAAGAACATCATATTCTCTAGAATGCAAATTAAAAATTTTAATGTTTTTGGTTTGATGCAAAATCAACAACAAAAAGAATAGTTTGTCTATTATTAAAAAGGGAATTTTTTTTTTTTTTTTTTTTTTAAAGCTGTCTTAAGGGTCATGGGTTGCTTTTGTATCTAATTGATTTGTGCCAACATATAATTACCAAGTTTAACCCTTTAGCATTCAAACCATCCAAAATCACCTTGTAAATATCAGCTGTCAATGTTCAACCCACCCTATGTATACTCTGCCATAATATGTGACATCATCACAAATAATGCAGTAAGTCACACAAACTGAGAGTTTGAGAGTCAATATTTATAGGGCAGATTTTGAGTATTTAAAAAGGTTAACTTGGTCTGATATCAGGATACAACCATGTATCAAGTGGGAGTTGATCTCAGTAGCAGGAGTTATACCTAAACAAAAGAAAGGCATTAGTGGAAGTTGGTATAATGGTTACCAGGTCCTAGTTTGAATTGTAGCTTATGTAAATGCAGTTGGGGAAAAGCATGAATCCACTGCTAATCTGCGTTGCTTTGCTTCGTCACCAGATAGCTTATCCTGCCATTCTCTGGTGGAGAAGAGTATGCGTGAATGACTACGAGGGAAAACTAATATTTGTACCTATGAAATTGGTAGCACCAGAAAAAGCTGGTACTTTCAATACTCATTCTTGACAGCGACTAAAACTCAAAGATAATATGGGAAATCAAAGATGATTGATAATATTTTGATTATTAAGATGGCTGTTCAGATGACTCTGATTTAGTAAATATACTGGGTTAGTCAAGATGTTTGTTTGCTTATTAAGTAGAGAATTTACTTAACGAACCGAACAAACTGTCTGGTCAATCCAATAGATCTGGAATTTTTAAAATGTGTGTTAACCACATTAAATAATATTCTTAAACAGATTAATTAAAAATTCTGCAAATCTGATGTTTTTTACAATTAGAAATTAATTTGCATTTTCACCATTTTTTTTATTTTCAGTTGTTAGGGAAGAATATGTCAGGCATTAATAAAAATATTTCGAGAAAATGTGTGGAATGTATAAATTTTTCATTAGTGTTACAAATAAAATTTGTGTATCTCCCACTAAGCAAACAAAAAAAAAAAAGAGGTAATTGGCAGATCAAGTGATTAGATAAAAAAATGTTTTTGTTAACAAATACTTTGCCTTTAGCAAGCAAAATATATTCCATTGTAGAATTTATGATTGCATAAAACAATTTTTAAGTCTTAGTAAATAACTTTATTGACATTTTTATTTTAGCCCATGATGACTATAAGAGGCATTTTCCAGAAATTTGAAATATATTAAATTGAGAACTGTACCCCAAAATTACTGCCCAATCTCCAGTAATTCTGAATAATATGGTGGAATAATGGATAGCAACTTGGATTGAGGAATCGGAGAGCCAAGTTTGAATTCCAGTTGAATCCATTACATTCACTTACGTACTAATACCCTTGGGAAAGGTATGAATTCTCTTCTTCTCCCCTCCAACTATGGGTAAATAGCAGGACAGACCAGGTTCTGTAGCCTTGGATGGCAACTGGTCTACTGCAGAAAGGAATGGCAACCTACTGTGGGAAAAAAATCTGCCTCGTCAGTCATGTATCAAAAGATACATGATTGCCTAAGCATGTATCACACATGGCACATAACTGAAATTCATGGAATGTACTTGATTTTTTTTCTTTTCTCTCTCACTTTCTGAGTATATTGATTTGTAATTCACTATTTTAAAAATGTAA